ATCACCGGATCGAAAAATTTCAAAAGCTTGTTCGGTCGAAACCGATTGCAGATTCGTTTTCTCCATGGTTGATTATGTGGTACGCAATAACTTTTGGATCGGGGTACTTTAGAAAAAAATTTTCCCACGATCTTGCTCAAAAATTTTTCAAAATGTTACCGTATGGGACCAAAGGCAAAACGATGTCGAAAATTTTTTCTGAAGTACCCCGATCCAGAAGTTATTGCAAACCACATAATCAACCATGGTGAAGACGAATCTGCAATCGGTTTTGACCGAACAAGCTTTTAAAATTTTTCGATCTGGTGATATGCAGTCGAAATAGAAGAAGTGGAAGTCGTTTACAGTTTTCTCTAATTGTCGTAACACATTTCTTGAATACCAGAAAAAGTTCTCTCTCTCTCTCTTTTCTACACTGTAATAAGAGACGTTACACCATGTTATCGACTTTATATAAATGTGTATACTCAACGGGTACATTTGCCTCAACAAGCCGCAAAGCAGATGAATTTGTTTGATATGGCATAGTTTTCTTCGTGTCTGTAGAGCTTTTCTTCTTCTTGACAGTTGGCAAAACGGGCATTGTGAATGTGAGTCTGCTTCACTTTGTGAGCAAGATGAGAAGTGGACTTCGGGATTTCTTTGATTATAATAGGCAACAATGAAGCAATTATTAAAACAAATGATAAGGCAGAAAACGAGGACGACGCTCACTTCACTGTACCCGTCTGCTTTTCGTCGATGTGCTTGCCTAAGGACCATCCATTGCAGATACTCCTCCATTTGTTTATGCTCCGCCGTGCGTGACTTGATAGAGTCTACAAGGGGGGTTGTGTTAACGCTGCATCATCACTGGGAGTGTTCTCCCCGTTCTCTATTCGCTCCCCGCAATATATAGAAGAAAGATACAGCAGATATGTAAAAGAGGACAAACATTATGTAAAGATGCTACGTGATGTATGACACCTACGCGCCACGTCTACCTCCGCAGTCCTCGTGATCCGCATCCCTAACAGGTAGACTCGTTTCTGCACCTGTTTGAGGAAATTCTATGGCAGAAAATCACGATCTTATGATCCTTGGCAGAATCGATATGTACATGACTGCAGTTCTTTGATGGCATTATGGCAAAATCGACTTTTTATACGGAGGTTAATTTAAGCCGGCTTCAATCGCATTAGAATTAGCATAGTCTAAAACGGTGGGCAGTAAAGTTTCATCTGATTGAAATGCGGAATAAAAATTTGATTAAATTCTTCTGTCTGCGCCTGAGACTTACTTCAGATCTCCTGGCGATGAGTTTGTTCGTTAGTCAGCCGAGTTTTGCGAATTTCAAGTGCGTTCTAACAAGAACGAGTTCATCAAGTCATTGTGCCTTCTATCAACCTTTGCCTGGTTTACGACTCTTTTTAGTTGTTTTCTCGATGAATCGCTTCTCTCGCGTTTCCTGTTCCATCAAAGTTAAAGTGTGCTTTTTCTTTCAGGTAGAATGAAAAAAACAGTTTGGAAAAAATACTTTTATTTTCTATAAACTTCTATCCTTTAAACATGATTCTCTTTTCTTCTTTTAACACAGAAAAAAACATTTACAATAATAAAAACATTTGAATAACAAACAAAGAAAGAAATACCAAACATAGGAATCATTATGTTCATAAACGAAAATTTTTTCCAATGTAAATAATAATGGTTCTAGAAAGAGAAAAAAAGAATAAAGTCGAGTCGCATTTCTTTAAGCCAGTTTTTTATCCGAGGTAGATTTTTTCCCAGTACAGGACAGGATCTACTGTTTTCTTTCTTTCTGAATTAATAGCCCAATGAGCAGAATTTTTTTGTTTATTTCCGCTTCGTTTTTTTTCTGCTTCCTCTTACTAACTCCTACGTGTGATTCTCTCTTTGTATTATTTCAGGTTGAGTTTTGGAATTTAATTTATATTTACAACAAACATAATATGGTTCAAGAAGAAAATTAGGTTAGAAAATTATTCAAGAAATTTTATAAACAAGTTTCAATAAATCTAAATTCAGGTATATGTACACTATTCTGTTTTCAATCGTACAGAAGAGTAGAATTGAGGACTAGAAACATGGCGATTATAAAATGAAGAGGTAATTTTCTTACTCGCAGTAGTTTTAAAAAGTTTTAAATCGAAGTGTTTTTTACACGAAAAATTTGTGTTTTGTAATGAAACTAGAAGAGCGGAGGAGGCGAGGCACTAATGGGTTTAAAGCTGTTTTTTGAAAGTTAGAAGTTGATATAGTTAAAATTCTAGTTATAACTATGAACCAGTTATAATTCTCAACTGGGGTTGATCAATATAATTGTGGTTGAAAGAGTTACAACTCCAGATGGATACAGTGATAACTATTCCAACCCCAGTTATAACTGCATCAGCTCTCGAACCAAATTCTTCGTACCTCTGTGTTGATTATTGTTTTCGGATGCCAATGGTAAAGCAGGAGGACAAAAGATGATTCACGGTGGTGGAGGAGGAAAAGGAAACGTATCTTCAATTGGAATTGAACTAAAATCAAAAGAAAAACTGATTAAATTTTTTTGATAAATATCTATATTACCTTGAAATCTCCGAAATACATCTTTCCGTTGGTGTTTCTGTCGTTGTTGTTTCATCAGTCTCGATTTTATCGACAACTTTTTTTAGAACTAAAAAATAATAATAATATTCACGAACAGCGCTATTTTTTTTGATACTCAAGCGCAAAGCATTTCTGAATAAGTTGGATGGACTTCGAAGAAACATTTTATAACACCTGAATCATGGCAATGAAATCTGTGAGTTAGAAACCAGATGGGGAGCGGCGTCTGTAGCAAAAGTTATTTTTAGAGCTTTTAAAAAATAGAAACATTTTCGTTTTCTTTCTTTTCTCTGGAAGTTTCTTACACTCTTGCTTTTGCTCGTTGGACTAAGGTAATTTGTCTGTCTTACCTTTTGTTTTCGTATTTTTCTTCAGATTGCAAATTCGTCGACAATTAAACACACATACACATTCTATAATAATTCCAAAAACTACCACTGATCCAAGCAAAATGAATACGACAAGGATTGAATTTGGTAATGATAGTGTTTTTATTATTGTCGTTATTGCTTTTGCAGTTGATTTTTTCAATCGCTCATAATCAATTAACCAAGCTGTAAGGTTGCATGGTTTTAATTGTGGAATATGTTGGGATAAATAATATTTCGGTTTATGTTCTTCTTCGCAATTATTCAGACATATTTTCTGTCTAATAGCCTATTTGTCTAATAGCCTAAGATATTTCTCTAACGGTGGATTTTTATTGTTCATGTTAAATCTAAAATTAGACAATGAGAACTAGGAAAAAATTTTAATTTTTTAATATTTTTTTATTTTAAAGTTCAATAACTTCCTGAGACCGAGGAATAAGCTTAAACTATAGTAATCCAAACAGAGATGCGCTCGACTATTATCTGTTTTTCCTTGTCCTTTTGTTTAAAACTAAATATATAAAGTCAACTTTGTTGTCGACTTAGTATGCATTTGTCGATATATTTAGACTTCTAATTGATTAATTGACTTTGTAAGATCAAGCGACATCAAAAAACGCGCGATCTATTCCAATTACTATTTTTCTTTTTCTTTCTATTTCAATTATCTGTGGTAGTAATTGTTTTCCTTTTCTATCCTTTCAAATTAGATCACAGTGTATGTTTTATTCTTAAATAGACCACGGCCATCTAAATGTATGGACAAATGCACACTAACCCGGCAACAAAGTTGACTTTATATATTTAGTTTTAAACAAAAGCACAAGAAAAAAGAGAAAATAGCCGGACGCATCTCTGTCTGGATTACTTTAGTTTAAACTAATTTTCTCGGTCTCCAGAAGTTATTTAAACTTTTAAAATAATAAAAATATTAAAAAATTAAAATTAATATTTTTTCAAAAAATTTTTCCGAGATAAACCATAACTGTTATAAGAGACGGTTAAAGTCTGAAACTTATTTTTGCAAAATCCGCATGACAAAACTTAAACCTAATTTATTTGATTCTAAGCCTAAAAGTTGCTATATAAAAAAAATGTTTTACATCCATTCACTACCTGAAAATCGAAAGGAGTGAACTGTAAACCGAGTTTTAGATGAGAACATCTTCTCAAGTTTAAATCAAGACTATTTCGCTTCTCCAGGTTAGTTTTTATTAGTTATTATAAAAATACGGTTTTGATTTGATAGTATTACAAGAATTAAACATTTGAAGTTGAAGCATAATTAGACTGTTGATCTATTTCCAACGATTTCTTCCATCAAAATAAAGTTTGTATTTATTTTAGTTACATCTTATCTACAACGTATTATTATTGATTTATTAAACGCCATTAATGTTCATCCGAGAGATGTACGGGTATGTTTATTTTGTTGCAGAAATGTTTTTTTTGAATATTACTATATTTAATATTTTAAGACAATTCGCAATGGTATATTAACAATATACAAAATTAAACTTGTCAAGCGATATTGTACCTTAAGATTCATTTCAATGATGCGTTAGTTTTATGTTCGCACCATTCATTTTCAGGTGTTTGTATTTGAAAAACGGTCAATATTCTGCTAAAATTACTCAGATTACATCAGTATAAAAATGCAAATTATGATGCGTTACTGTTGTATAGCTTAATTAACCTGTTGAATTATATCGTTTGTGATATTGATCATGAAGACAAAGTAACAATTGGATATTTGGGCACTATTGAAGTAAATCGACAAAAATTTATTATGTCTTTTCTTTTTCTTCATATCTTACTTAATTGAACTTTGTGAGGTTTTTTTTGCTTTAGATAATAATGTATTTGACACAAACACGTTTAGAAACGGAAATTGCCTACGATTTACTCGAACCACCTTGGACAGTGTTGTGGAATATAACATATGAAACAGCTGAGAATTGTCGAAAATTTATTGAAGATAATAATGGTCTGCAAGCATTTACGGGTAAAGTGATATTAACTAAAATTATACAAAACGAATAATTCTCTTTTCTTGAAGGGAAATCTTGCTGAAGTAAAATATGAAGACCTGATTTGATCAATAATACTCATGTGGAACAGTTTCGGTAGAAAGTTTTTAATCTATGTCAGATATCTGTAAATATATCATATATACTTTATTCCAGGATGTTAATGAAACAAAGTAATACAAATCTAACAGTAAGATATAATTCTGGCGGAATCTTAGCGCATATTTTGAATCATGGTCCTGAAGAATGGACTATTAGCACAGATCGAAATTCATTAAACAATGATATGTTTGAAATGATTAAAGACTCGGATATTCATTTGGATCGAACAATAAACTATAGGTAATTGAGCTATATTTCAGTGATAAATTTGAAACAAAATTCCCGATTTTTAGATCGTTTGGTTCAATTCACGCCTTCTAAACGAAAATAATGCAAGCAGTAGTTTAATGTGGGTATCTTGGGCTCTTACCTAAAGGCGTCAGTAGCCCAAAAACAAGAAATTCTTGTTGAAATTTAGTTTTAAAGCACAACTATAGGTAAAAGACAATGTATATTTAGATGAAAAAATGTTCGTTTAATCAATTTAAAGTTTAAGACTTAAAAGCAGATTAAATGGCGAAATGCCTCATAATAACTACTTAGGAAAACGTTAAAAGCTCGGCTTTTTACGGAAAACGTTTTCTGGCAACTCTCTGGAGATCCATAAAATATACCTGTTGGAATTCACATTGTTTTTTACCTATAGTTGTGCTTTAAAACTAAATTTGAATGAGAATTTCTTGTTTTACAAAATAATACCTTGCTCATTTCAGAAAGGCCTCAAAAAAAATAAATTTTCTCAACCCGGAAGTAAAGTATTATAGCAAAATCGACCTTTTATACGAGGTTTTTATGAGTCGGCTTCATTGCATCCGAATCAGTTTAGTCTAAAACGATGGGCCTCTATGGGACTCTACCGACCTTTTCTCAACATTTGCCTGGTTTATAACTTAAGTTTTTCTCTCGATGAATCTCCTCTCGTGTTTGCTGTTCCGTCAAAGTTTAGAGTGTGCTTTTTTTTCAGCTAGAGTGAAAAAAATAAGTTTTGAAAAAACACTTGTGTTATCTATAAACTCCTATTCTTTAAAAATGATTTTATTTTTATTCAAGGTATTTCCATAATGTTTGAGTTTTATCGTTTATTTTGTATGTAAGATCTAAAGTATGAGAATGAGAACTGGAAAATCAATTAATTAATGTCGAAATGGACGTGAAACTCAATTCTTAATTGATTACGCTTTTTATGTAAAATGATTTTACGAAAATCCATTATATTAAATATACTTATTTTATAAAAAACATAAAAAAGTCAAAGAATGTCAATAAAACAGCGATGCTTTCGGCTATTTTTTCGTTTTCCTTGTGCTTTTGTTTAAAACTAAATATATAAAGTCAACTTTGTTGCCGGGTTAGTGTGCATTTGTCCATATATTTAGATTGCCGTGGTCTATTCAAGAATAAATTTTTTATAATCGTCATGACCAAAAGCAGGCAAAAGCATAGATGCAATGCTCTATCAAAAAGGAAAGTCGGTGTCAGTACAAAAAGAACTTTTTCCCCTACGCGATGATGTAGATCTTTCTGTTGAGATTTATTGTGTTCTAGCAAAGAAATTAAGAAGTGACAAATATGAAAAAATGGAAAACAGTTCTGTCTTGTTTCTGATCTCACGACTTGATGAACTTAAGGAGATCTGCATTGAGTTTGTCCTTGTGCGTGGAGGGCAGTCCATGTGGTGCACCTTTGTAGATGATCAGATGGGCATTACGTAGAATTTTCACCGATTCCGCACTACTAATTTCCAATGGGACAATCTGATCGGCATCACCATGGACGAGCAACGTTGCAATGGTCACCGCCTTCAGATCACTGTTGAAATCCATTTCGGAGAATGCTTTGACACATTCGTATTCGTTCTTCAGCCCACCCATCATCCCTTGAAACCAGAATTGATCGCGAAGGCCTTTACTGACATTCTCTCCCCCCGGCGTGTTCACTCCGTAAAAGGGAATGGTCAGGTTTTGGAAGTACTGTGAGCGGTCGCGGAGAAGAGCTGAGCGAATGTCGTCGAAAGTGGAGATGGGCAGCCCATTCGTATTCGTCGATGTTTTGACCATTTGTGGTGGAACGGCGCTGACCATCACCAGTTT